TCCATGATTTCTGTCTCTCGCTCTATCTTAAGAAGAAACCCACAAGTTCAGACCTTTTCTCACTAAGCTCCTTCCAGGAGCCCCTCTTCCATTGTTCTCTGTGTGAACTCAACTTCTCCCCCTGGCTGGGCTGCTGGCTGGGTGGTGTCTGCCACTGTTAAACTGGTAGGGCTGTGGGTGAGTATGAGAAGGCTCTGAGGGAACCCCTAGTGCAAAGCCCTTTGTTTTGAGGTACAGTGCTATGACCTAGGGCGGTAAAGTGAGGTGTCCAACACCCAATAAACTTATGGCAAATCCCGGGGAAGAATTCAGACTCCCTGACTTCTCACCATCTGGATTGAAAGGTTCTACTCCCAGATTCCTGTCTGCCCAGAATCTGAGAATGTCACCTTCTCTGACAATAATGTCTTTGCAGATTTAATTAGTAAAGATGAGGCCATAATGGGAAAGGGTGGCCCTAACTCCATGACTGGTGTCCTTGTGAGAAGAGGAAAGAAGACACAGGCACACAGGGGAGAAGGCCATGTGAAGAGGGAGGCAGAGGCTGGAGCGGTGCTTCTGTAGCCAGGGAACACCAAAGATGACCAGAAACCACCAGAACCTGGACGAGGAAGGAAGGCTTCTTCCTGAGGGTCTCTGTTTTAAGCCACTCAAGTCTGTGGCACTTCTATAAGGCAACCCTGGGGAAGCAAGTTAGTCCCTTGAGCTTAGCCACAGCTCCTCTTCTGCACCCTATTACTCGATAAAAAGTCTGATGTTCCTCCATTGCCAGTGGGTGAAGAGTCCCGTTCTCAAACATGAAGGGCAGCATTTGAATCTACAAACTCAATAGCTGGCTCTCTCACTCTCACCTGACAAACCCGCTTATTGTTGTTTTTGTTCCAATTAGCTGCAAGTCACCTTAAATCTCATCACAGGAAGCATTAGTCTATTTAAATTCAATGTAAATGTGTTGCTGCTTGTTTTTATACCCGACAGGAGACAGGGATAGGACATGGAGAAATTACTCCCTAGGTGTTGTGGGTCTTGAAATCTAGACGTGATAAAAGAGAACAAATTGTTGGAGGTTAGAGGGAGAGAGATATTGATATTCTGGGCATCAAATCCCTAAATAAAGAATTGACTGGCACATTATAATGTTCAAAATCCCTTCCTTCCCTCCCTTCTTTCCTCTCTTCCTTCTTCCTTCCTTTCTTTGCCAGATATGTTATTCTGATCTTTGTCCTATAGATGAAGTTGAAAACCTAACAGAAAAACTCAAATAGTCGCCCCATTAACTCAGATTACTGTATTTCACTTTATCAAAGTCTAAATTCATCTCCTGCTGCCCATTCATTTGTTTTCTTGGAAATTGTAGCAGTAATTCTTATTTTGCGCTCCATCTCCATCCAGACAGGGGTTGAGGGCTCAGCCTTGGTGCCTGGACATGACATTTTATGCTGAAGCTCTTGGGTTTGTTTACACGACACATCAACACTCAGTCAGAACTTCACAGTTCAAGCCCCCTTATTCCTGTAATGGGGATGCTGAAAGAGGGAGAGTGTATTGATTTCAAGCTGCTGCTCAGGTATTGCTGTTTGTGATCAAAGGAGGGGGACAGGGAGGGGTGGGTGCTTTGCTGTCAGGAGTGGCTGAGAAAACGAGCACTAGTACATTTGGTGCAAATGGTCTTTTGACACTTCTCCCCACCCCAGGAATGGATAAATGCTCAGACTCCAAGACAACAGGGATTAAGGAAAAATAAGGTGAAAAAAAAAAAAAAAGAAAAGGAAGAAATCAAACTGGCTATCAAATAGACTAAAATCAGTGATAAATGAACCTTTTGTATTTTTCTATCACCTTGTCACAATATGTAGACATAACTATTCTTATTTCTTTCTTCCTTTTATCCGTGGGGGAACATAGTAAGAAAAAGACAAAAAAGTCTCCAAGCTGGCACTGGGATGGAGGGAGGAGGTAGATCACAGGCATGAGAAGGAGTTATGGGGTAGGAAGAAATGAGTAGTCTGTTTTAGGAAGAAATTGATTTATTTTACATATTCCTTAGGATTCTTTTTCTTTTGCTTTCAGTCATATTTTATTTTTTCTATTCATTAAATTACCTTCCTTATATTGAACATTACTTATCTTGTTAACCAAGCACATTTTTAAAGATATATTAGGCACCCGTGTCTGGGAGGTGGTATCTTTTGCACAAACATGATAATGAGGCTCTGCGTTGATTCTATTTTCAAGAATCCAATAAAGTATTTGTGATGCTTTTCTAAGAAGGTAAAAATTAAAGATAGCAATAGTGCACTGTGCATTTCAAACAGCTAGAAGAAATGACTTCAAAGGTCTTTGCCATGAAGAGATAATAAGTGTTTGAGGAAATAAAGTTGTTTAATTTGTTTGGAACATTGTATAATGTGTACCTACTTTGAACATTATGACACCCCGTTAATACACACAACACTTTGTGTCTTTATATATTGATTGAAAACAATAACTTTTAAAATAAATTTTTAGTTGTAGATAGACACAATACCTTTATTTATTTATTTTTTATGTGGTGCTGAGGATTGAACCCAGTTCCTCACATATGCTAGGCAAGCATTCTGCCACTGAGCCCAAAAAATAAATTTTTTTTTTAAAAATGAAAGGAACCTGGATAGTACCAATGCTATCATATTACAAAATTAGAATTTAGTCCATATTTTAGTGTTTGTAATCAGGATTGTTAAACATTAGAACTGTAGTTTGTATAAAATCTAAAGCCAGCACCTCAAGGCATGGCAGATATCATTATTTGTGTTGATTTCCAAATATACCAGTGTACCAGTTGCTACTGCCACACAGCAAACCACACCAAAGCTTGGTGGCTTAAAAAAGCCATGATTTATGACTTCTTATACTTCTGGGAGTGACCAGTTTTTCAGTGGCTCTCCCAAGCTCGCACACAAGCTTTCAGTCAGCTGTCAGCTCAGACATGCTGGAAGTTCTAAAGTTAACCTCATTCACAAATCTGCAACCCTGGCTAGCTGTCAGCTAGGCCTTGATCTCTCCATGGTCTTTCATAATTCAAGGGTCCATCCTGGACTTCCTTTGGTAATGGCAGAGGGTGGCAAGAGGGTGGCAACAGAGGCTGTCAGGCTCTGAAGATGCAGCCTCGGAAGACTCACAACATCCCTCTCCTGCATTCTACTTGTCACGGAAATTCACAGGGTCACGATGAAAAAAGAGGTAGACAGAAGAAGACAGGAGGGTTGTTTTAGCAAATCCCTGTCATCATTTTCCAAGATGATTCCTTCCTTAGAAGTTGCACCCCTCTCTATTCCCATTGTCTTACCACTTGGCTCCGTTCTCTGTATTTGGCTTTAGGTTGTAATAGTCAACAAATCATCTCATCCCGTGGTGCCCAAGATTGCTATTTGTTCATTCTTTCTTTCTTCATCTGAAATAAATATCCTGCTTCTTGTAGCTTGGCTCAGGGACTCTGGAATAAGGCTTACTTTTTAGTACGTATGCTCCTTTGCTGTTAGGTGTGGTCAAGGGGCTAATTCCTATCCAATGGGATACAATGGTGTACACTTTGAGGAAGGAAATGTGTCTCTTTTTGTTGCCTCCTCCTTCCTTAAGCATGGAGTATAGATGTAATGGCTCATGATCCCGGGGCCATCTTGGATCAGGAAGTAACGTGGGAAAGGCAACAGCCTGGGTCCCTGACTCCAAGAAGTTCTACAGCAGCCCTGGAGCAATTCCTTCTAGATTTCTTGAATATGCATGAAATATACTTAATTGAACATGACTTGGGAATGGTTACAAAATTTACAGAGGAACTCAAATGCTAAAATGTCCCCTTTAATTTTATAATTAGTCATTCTGAATGTAGTGCGACTATCATCAAGTAGTTGTTTGTTTCTCTTTAGACATCATTTAGGGATGGGAACTTAATTATCTTCTTGCTTAATTATCTTCTTTAACCATAACTTTACAAAATTGCCAACAACACCAATGACTTTTGGATTTTTCTAGTTTTGTTAATTCAAGTTATCTATCTCTTTTATTAACATACAAATCAGGAGCTAGTCATTACTTTTAAAAAATATTAAAACAAGAAGACTAATGCAATTTAATTAGATCTAATATTCTTACTAGTTGCTGTATTCTAGATTATAAAATAAATTATTTTAAGTACTGTAAATTCCTTGAGAAAGTGGACACTTTAACAGGCATTACATTTTTGAATATTCCTTCCTTCTTGATGGATACAAAAAGAGATGAAAAGTCAAAGTTTTTCTACCCAAAAGTCCAACAATAAGTACAAATAGATAAAAATGGAAAATAATAAAGTAAAATATTATGCACTAATTAAGATTGAAAACACAATGAATGCAACAAGATAGGAAATTTGTATGGATAATACAGTATCATCACTGAACTATGAATATATCTGTAAAAGATAATAGAAAGGGGAATTTGTCCCATCAGTTATAAATGACATGATATCATGATAACAAAATTAGTTTGAGGTGAGTTGGCTCATGTGAAGAATTTATAAAGGAAGCAAACTATTTGCTACATTTTGGATCTGGAATATCTCCTAAAGGCCCATGTGTTAAAAGCATGGTCCTCAACCTGATACTAATAGTAGGAGGTTTTAGGTCATTGAGAATGTGTCCTCAAAGGGGATTTTTTTTGGACCCCCATCTCTTGCTCTTTTTCTTTGCTTTCTTGCTGCCATGAGGAGAGGAGCATACTCTTCCCTGTACTCCCACTGTGAGCTGCTGCCTCCTTACAAGCTCAAAAGCACCCAGATCAACTAACCATGGACGGAAGCCTCCACAACCATGAACCAAAATAAATCTCTCCTCTCTTAAGATTGATTGTTCCAGATATTTTTTTTATGGTGATGGAAAGCTGACTAACACCGTGTTCCATGGTTCTTAGACTCTTCTGCAGGATTAAGATTATTAGAGGGCCTGACTCAGAAGCTACCACTGCCCCCAGATGCTCTCAAGATGATAACTTCTCTAGGTTCCAACACCTACAACAGGCAGAACTGGGAGGACTCGGACTTCCCCATTCTATGCCAGACATGTCTTGGAGAAAACCCATATATCTGAATGACCAAAGATAAGTATGGGAAAGAATGCAAATCTGTGCCAGGCCATTTACAGTGTTTCGCTGGTGTCCTGGGGTCCACATGCCCTACAAGAAGACTGAGGTGTGCCAAACCTGCAGTAAATTGAAGAACATCTGCCTCTTAGACCTAGAGTATGGCCTGCCCATCCAGGTTCATGATGTGGGGTTCTCTTTTAAAGATGACATGCCAAAGTCAGATGTCAACAAAGAGTACTACACACAAAATATGGAAAGAGAAATTTCTAACTCTGATGGAACACGGCCAGTCGGCATGCTTGGGAAAGCCACATCTACTAGTGACATGCTGCTCAAATTGGCCTGGACCACACCCTACTACAAAAGGAATCAGTCCCACATTTGCTCCTTCTGGGTGAAAGGAGAGTGTGAAAGAGGGGAAGAGTGTCCATACAGACATGAGAAGCCTACAGATCCAGATGACCCCCTTGCTGATCAAAATATTAAAGACCGTTATTATGGAATCAGTGACCCTGTAGCAGATAAGCTTCTAACGCAGGCTTCAATAATGCCTCGTCTGGACCCACCGGAGGATAAAACTATCACCACACTAGATGTTGGTGGTCCGGGTGATACCATTACTGAGACAGATCTCATAAATCATTTCTACCAGTTTGGAGAGATTCGAAGGATCACTGTAGTACAGAGACAGCAGTGTGCGCTCATCCAGTTTGCCACAAGGCAGGCTGCAGAAGTGGCTGCTGAGAAGTCCTTTAATAAGTTGATTGTCAGTGGATGCAGACTCAAGGTGAAATGGGGACGATCCCCAGCAGCCAGAGGAGAAGAAAAAGAGAAGGATGGAACCAAAGATTCTGGGACCCAGCTGGAGCCTGTTCCAGGACTGCCTGGAGCTCTTCCTCCTCCTCCTGCAGCAGAAGAAGCCTCTGCCAGCTACTTCAACCTCCTCCCGAGTGGCCCTCCAGCCGTGGTAAACACTGCCCTGCCACCACTGCCTGGGACTGCCCCATCCCCACCCCCAGGTTTGGGGCCACACATGGTCCACCCAATGAGACCACCTGCTCCTTTCATGAGGGCTCCAGGACCAATCCACTCTCCTTCTCAGGACCCTCAGAGGATGGGAGCACATGCTGGAAGATACAGCAGTCTGGGCTCCATGGAAGAAAGGGCACTTTAAAATCCCAGTCAATGAATCTTGGAATAAATATATTCTTCCTTCCCTGGTAGTTTCTATGGTTGAAGCTGAATGTGCTCAGATGTGGGCAGTGGAGAAGCACAGCCTTGCTTACCTACGTGTGTGAAAGGGATCAGCAGACCTCAAATAAACTGCCATGAACACAGCTAGGGCCATGGCTGTATTACTAAGAAAACCTTCTGCTAGTCCCTTGAACCTGTATGGGGGACGAGCAGATGGGTAAATTGGAATAGCCAATGGAGTTACCATCTCAATTATATGTTCATTTTGTTTCTTGGGGTGTGGGGGGCCAAAAATTGAGCTGCAGTAAAAAACCTTTTAACCATTTTTATGTCTACTGGATATTTTATTTTTTTTATCATCTAAAAAAATAGTACTAATCGTCATAGTGTCATAAGTGTGATTTAACTCTTTTGAAGTCACATGTTCAGAGACACAAGAAGAAACCAGGACCCAGCACAGCCCAGAATTTCTCTCTCTCTCTCTCTCTCTCTCTCTCTCTCTCTCTCTCTCTCTCTCTCTCTGGAGTACTGGGGATTGAACTCAGGGGCACTCAACCACTGAGCCACATCTCCAGCCCTATTTTGTATTTTATTTAGAGACAGAGATGCCTAGTACTTCGTCATTCCTGAGGCTGGCTTTGAATTTGTGATCCTCCTGCCTCAGCCTCTCAAGCCACTGGGATTATGGTCGTGTGCCACCGTGCCCAGCTCTTTACCTCATTTTTAAAGTAAAAATTACTTTTTATTCCTATCAGAAACACAAATTTTATGGATCTATCATTGAAGAAATCTGGTGTCTGGGATGAAATTATTTTATTTTAAAGAACTTCCCATACAATACCTTCTTTAACAAAATAAAAGGCAGACCTTGGAGTGTGTTTGGAACGGAAGACTCATGAGCTACCCTGAAACCCTGATCTTCCACGTTCACCTCCGTGTGTCTTCAGTGTCCCCGTGTGATCCCCTGGTTCTGGGCAGAGGACTGTTGGTCTTAGAATGTTTGCATATAACTGAATTGTAGATGATGAGGGAAATTTGATGTTGTGTTGTGTTGTTTTTAAATAATTAAAATGGGTCAATTTTCAAAAAAAAAAAAAGATTATTGGAGGAAGTCATAAAATGGATGAACCTGGAGGGAACACTGCTGAAGAGGCTTTTGTGGAAGCATCAGTTCTGCCTAAAACTCTCTGTCCCATTTTGGTGGTAGTAGTTCCTGATTCCAGGTCTAATCATGGAACCTATGTAAGAGTTTTAAATGTTTCCTGCATTTGGAAGGTATAGTAGACCCATGCTGGTTTAGGCCTAGGAAATCAAAGGCAGTTTAGGGATTAGGGACTAGGAAATAATGGAGGTGACTGAATGGCTGGCCAACTCCTGTGTCAGAATCAGGAGGGAGCTGCTCCTTGGAGATGTGTGTCAAGGTCGGAGATGGCTGTGGGCCACATGAGATAGGGAGCCATGTGGGGCTATTTGGGTTCTTGCCCAGGAGTCTCACTTAGTGCACTCCCTGCCCTCTTAGAAACAGAAGTTTGTGGGTGGGTGCATGGGGAGGGCATGGAACAGCAGGACCTCACCTTCATACCTGTGCCTGGGTTCTGGATGGAGGTGACATTAACTCACATTTGGAGTTTTGATTAGTATCTTAAGACTAGACATTCTAATGAATTGTGACTATGTTCATGACCTAAAGCTCCTAAGACCATGTCTACATTGTAAATTAAACTGAAGAAGTTTAAAGACAAGGTAGGAATCAAGGAGAAAGCTGTTTGTTTATGATCTGTGTTAGCCTTGATCAATAAACTAGTTACATGCAGAACATTATCTGAACCAAAATGATTTTTTAAAATAGCTGTTTTAGCCAGGTGTGATGGCTCACACCTATAATATCAGCAACTCTGGAGGCTGAGGCAGGAACATCACAAGTTAAAAACCAGCCTTAGCAGCTTAGCAAGTAACTAAGCATCTTAGCGAAACCCTGTCTTAAAATAAAAAAATAAGGGCTGGGAATGCGGCTCAGTGGTTAAGTACCCTGGGATGGAGTCCCAGTTCCAAAAATCTAAAAATAAAAATAAAAAATAGAACAGATATTTCTCCTTCAATACCATTCCCTTAATAGTCTAATAACTTTAATAGTTAATGAAATTCAAAGAAAGATGTGGACCTTTATTGTACATTCAGCCTAGCACAGGGATTAAGTCAGCCAACCTAGGTTCAAACCCTGTGACTTCATTTGCTAGTCATGTGATCTTAGCCGAGATGCTTAGTATGTTTAAGGATTTGTGTCCTCAGCTATACAGTGGGAATAATGAAAATCACAGGCACTTTGTAAATTTTTGTGAGGCTTAAATAAGCTCCCCTGTAAAGCACTAAGTGTTCCACATGGGCTAGCTTTTGTTTTTGTTATGGATCCAGGGATGGTGATAAAACTAATGCAGGCATGGCCTCTCTCCAGAGGTTGTGGTTAAGGAAACAGAGGAGATCATCTTAAAAATTAAGGGGTGCTTACAAGATTTCTACCACAGATGTTTGTACCAGAGAGATTGGTCCCTGTTGAAGTTGAACCAAGGGTGGCTTCTCAAGGTTTGCCTGCAATAAGAATGCAGGGCTATGGCTTCTAGTACATGAGGGATTAAAGGAGAGCCCATCTTGGCTCCTTCCATTGCTTGAGACTATAATAAGTACGCAGTTCACAGCCTTACTGGGGAGCTGAGTGGTCACACCAATGGCATCTTATGCTCAATTGGGATTTATCCCTTTTTATCTGGCATATGTTTTCTTGATTGTTCAAATCTAAAAAAAACTGATATTAGCTGGAGGTATTATATTGTTTTAGCAAATGGAAGATAAATTAACATTGGCAACCTTCCCTCCCTCTTCAGAACTTTGATTCGATCATGGTTTAAGAGCTAGTCACCCTGAGCCTAGGATTCTCAAGGGGCTCAGACTCTTTAGAGAAAGTTAATCAATGCCCTTGGACGTGCAGAGAACACTTTGGTTCCCGCTACATAACCAATTTCTAAAATGAATGTTTTTTTTTCAAGTTCAGCTTTTTCTTCCTGAGTTTCCACACTATTAATAAGTAGATGAAATATCAAAAAAAAGAGAGAGGGAGAAAGAGAGAGAGCGCCTGAGAAAGGCAGAGAGAAATATGGTTTCTCTTCCAAATGCACTGAAGCACTGAATAAATATAATTATGGATGTAACGAGGCCAGCTTCAGGTTTTAATCACTGTTTCCCCACTACCTACTAATTTGCTATTCAGTGCCTGCTGTTGTGTAACTTTGGGTCGGGTGGCATTAGCTCACCAGGTAACCACAAGTAATCTTTTTAGTTTAAGCCTGTGGTGCATCAGAGCGTGAGAGGCTGGGAAAATTAGATGCACTATGTCCAAAATTTTTTTTTCATTAGTACTTGGCATTGATGCCCTGATCTGTAACCCAGTGAGTATTTTTGCAATCACTGTGCTGTATGGAAATTAGCATTTTCACCAGAATGCTAACATGTGGTCGATACATCTCACACTGGGTATTAAAATCTAGGCAAGCTAGCAGTTTGAATGTGCATGATTTCGTTATTTATATATATCATTGACATACTGATTTAAATGACACAATATGTGCTTTTTGTGCCAAACCACTCTGCATATTGACTGTAGTATATTTCCTTAAATCTACAAAGACATTAGCTCCCAAGCAGAAGATTGCTTCCTCTGAGTGTGAGAGTTATTATCACACTAAGAAAGGGAGATAGGGGGTTTTATCATGTCCTAGATAATACATGAGAAAATGGAGAAATCTCTTGAGACAAAACAGGAGAGAGTCGGGAATAATAAAAACACATATATTTAACTGCTGTGTTCTCTGTTCATGCACTCTATTATCAATAATGTTGTGGCTGCTTTGGATGTGAGAAGATGGACTAATTCTCCTGGATTGAGACAGAGTCAGAAGATCCACATTCAACTTCTGGCTTTGACAGTATCAATGTGACCTTGGGCCAGTCCCTTAGCTCCTTTGCAATCAGTGACTTCTTTTTTGCAAAGGAGGTCCTCATGATTGTCAGCAATCACAAAGCCACATGTGACCTGAAATTTTTGTTGGCATTTATTATGTTTTTACAGTTCTTTTTATTTTCCTAGCTAACTTTCAAAAATTGGGAGATTTCACTTAAAAAGCAGATTTCTGGCTTTCTATTTAATAATAGGAAGACTTAGTATTAGTCTCACATTTTTACATGACCGCCATTGACAAGGGCAGATGGTACCTCCATTTGAGATATCACACATTTTTCTCTCATTTGCCATAGGCTCCACCATAATCTCTCCCCAACTTAGGGACTAAATAATAGATCTGCTTACCTATGCTTATTGTTAATTTTCTTTTACTCTTGAGTATTTCCATCTAAAGTGAGAGAAAATAAAAGTCCAAAATAGACTCAGGTTTCAAAAATAGATGGAAAGATACCATTTTTTTAAAAAAAACAAAGAATATTCCTGTTGGTTTTAATTTAACACAGAGAGTCCCTTGACAGTGTACAAGCTTTACTTTACATACCTATTTCACTTGCTCAGTCCATCTAGCATTTGAATTTGTCATCCCTGGTCCATTTGGGAATAAAATATCATTTCTATAACTTGAAGAAATTTCTTAACAGATGCATAATTTTTTAATGCCCCATTAGTGTACAACAAAGAGATAATCACTTTGAGAAGATGTCTGGGTCTGTGTCCACAGTAAGGGCCTTTGTACATGAAATATAAAGTTTTCAAAACAAGAGCTTTGGGGGCCGGAAAGCAGCAAGCCCAACAGTTATAAGCAATTTGCATCAAGTTAAGGGCTTTGCAAGCCCAATGTGTGCTGAGAGAACAGTTCTCCCAAACTAGATTTGGACTTCTCCCTGAAATTCTTTATTTCCCCAATGAACTCGTAATTCCGATCCTGCTTGGTATTGCTTTTATGGCAATCATAGAGACCTACCCAG